TCTAGCGACACGAGAACAGAGGGGCAGCCCAGAGCAGCACTGCCCACTGCTTCGTGCGCTTTCCTCCAGAGCTGCCCTGCTCTTGCCCATCTCGGGGTCCAGCTGAACAGAAGTGGGCCTGGTTTGCAACATGGCCTCCCAGGGCTGTAGGGTAGACTGGAGGTTGAGAAACCATTGCGGAGGAAGGCCGCAGCAAGCGGCTTCCATATTATGCCAGGAAAGCAGCACGGTCGGCGTCTGCAGCCACCAGGCCCTCCCTGCCTGTCCCTCTGTGCCCTGGGGGCTCCTGGCGGGTCTGTGAGCTGGAGCCCCCAGCAGCCAGGGGGAGGATGGGCCGCCTGCCCGACTCCAGCCTGCGGGGGATCTGGTTCCAAGGAGAGAGGCGTTGGCAGAGCTGGCGTATTTGGGGAACGAGGACGGGTCTTGGCAAGTAGGGCTGGTGTGCGGGGGCCAGTACCCCTGTGTGCCCATTTGGGTCCCTTCCTCAGGCTAATCAAGATGCCTAGTGCCTGTCTGTCTGGGCAGAGCTGGCACTGATCTGGGCATCTGCCTGCTGGTCACAGTCCACTGCTTTGCTGCGCTGACGCTGCACTTTGCTGGGGCTGCTGCAGTGGCTGATTCTGGTGCGCGATGCGCCTGTCGGGCAGACCGCTGGGCGTATCTCGGGGGGGCGTGCAGCATCCAGGACCACCTTTTCTGTCCAGACCCTCTGGCCTGAAGGTCTCCAGCCCAGCCACTGCCAGAGGAGGAATGTTCCTGGACAGCCTTGGGGTCGCTTGGACTGGGAGTGCCAGTGCGGTGGGGGGAGGCAGCGGAGCCCCCAAACCTCAGGAGCTCCCTATTGCCTGCAAACCATGCAGGGCAGGGACCCCCAGCCTTTTCTGGGTCCCTGGAGAGGGACAAGCAAGCTCTACTGTGGACAAGCCCCCTGTGGACAAGCTGGCAAGAGAGTGAGGGCAAGGACGGCACCTACCTCACAGTGAATTTGGGGGGAGGGGCTTTTCTCATGGGGCTGCACCCTACAAGGGGAAAGCCACCAGTAAGGTGCCGGGGAAGACGAGGGCCCCTCAAGAATAGAGGAGAACCCCCCCACTCTCTGAGGCCTAACAAGGGGGCTGGCTCCCCCGGTCTCCTGGCTGGTTCCCTGGTTGCACAGGCTCCCTTCTGGGGCCGCTGGGGCCTTGAGACCTCTGTCCTAGACCCCCTTGGGCGCCCTCCTCGCTGCTGGTGGCCACAAGGCTGCCTTTCCTTCCCTGGGGGGGGGCCGTGACAGGCTTGTTTCCTGCTGGGGGAGGGATGGGCTTGGGG